CCCAGACAAAGCAGCTGATATGCTCCATAGGCAAGCCACGTGAGACTGGCTTTACGACGACCGGGACAGTCGCCCACTACATGTGCCCATTACCCAGGTTATGGTGATAAGGGATCCCCTTATTCGTGGGTGCCCCATGTGATGTTGCTCCTACAAAATCAAACAACAGTTCGAGAAGTCTTATCTGACTTGCTGTCTCAACCTCCACACAGGGTTCTCACTGATACCAAGGACATCAAAGTGATTAAAAAGAAAACGGGGAGAGACAAAGGGGAGAGTCATGGGACTCATCTCAGCCGGGTGGAAATCTTTAGACGGTTATTGAAACACGGGATGGACATGGCAGACATTGATGGGGCTGGTGCAACAGATTGGTGGTGGTAGTGGGCAATGGGACCCCTTCACTAGCACCCCCAACCTTAAAAGGTCCACAAAATGAATGGACTTGGGGGATCTTCAGCCACGCAGAGATGTGCTGAATCTAGACCTGTTCTTCTTGTGCCCTTTGCGGCACAAAACACCAACAAGAACTGCTCTGTCTGTCAACGAGAGAGAGAGAGAGAGAGAGAGAGAGAGAGAGAGAGAGAGAGAGAGAGAGAGAGAGACTTCAAAATGGTTATGGGTAAGATCCTGGGGGAGAGGGCCCCGAACATAGCACAGAGGGCAAAGGGATTACACTGGACCAACACCAGTAGCCCTGGGGGGGGGTCCATAAACGGCTCCTGACTGGAATAGATACTTATTCCAAACTGGGCATTACATACCTGCTGGTAGAGACCAATACCCAAAACCCTATTAAAATATTAAAGCAGAAGATACTGTACCAATTGGTACCTCCGGATTACATTTCTTCAGACCAAGGGATGCCCATAACATCCAACAGTGGACAAAGAAATGCCACGTCAAACAGACATATCATGTTATATACCATCCTCAGAGAAATGGTTTAACAGAAAATTAGAATGGGTAGTTGAACCATCTGCTATCTAAAACAGGGGGAGATAAAGGCATGAAGGCTCACATGCCTTCATGAGTGTGTTCTCACACTCAACACGAGAGGGGTAAGGGAGGGTCCCCACTGGATAGATTCCTCCACCCTTCTGGGGTGTCTGGGGAAGGGGTGCTGGGAGGGGATGCTGGTGCTAGAAGCAGAGATGGTTCCTAAGCAAGAGCTACGTCTTTAAACCTCTATGTCAGAATTCCTGAAAGCCTGATAATAGGGTGGATTGTTCCTTCACCCCATCTGGCAAAGTTAGGGCTAACAGAACATGCCACTATGTTTTCTGATGGCCGGGACAGCCCCCTGGTTGTGTACCTATGTACCTTCACCCTTTATGAGTAGGAGTGGATTGGGGTAGGCACCTGCTAGACAAGTACTGTTGCCAGCAATCTGGACCAGCACAATGGCTGTGTCTAACATCCCTTCCAAAGCTAAAAACGTTTGGGTAAAAGTAAGAAACAAATGGAGAAAAGTAGAAATAATAGCTGAGGGTAAAGAAATGAATAAGTTGGTTTTGCAACGAGGGAGATCCAACATTGTATTAACACCTCCAGAGAGGCTCGGCGTAAGAGAATATTATCTCTCAGCACAATTATACCAGATGCCCAAAGGGGTGAAATTATATGTTTCCTGATTCTACTCTTGCTTTTCGACCCTGACAAGATTGAATGGAAGCCCGCAAACCTGAGGGGTCTCCCTGGGAGATATCCATGCAATACGACAGACTAATTATTAATGATTAAATGAGATCCTACTAATGTGGCAGCATCTTTTGAGTTGTATGTCCTACTGCAAGGGATACAGGTCCAAAGACTGGCGGTGGACTGTGATATTGTGAAATATCTATTTGTTTTGGACCCATTTCCTAGTATACAAATTCCTAAAATCCTTAGAAACTCCACAGTGACATGTTTTTGTATGATAATGATTGATCAATGGCTGGCAGTCCCAAGGTAGCTCTAGCATGGGGCTGGTCACCAGAAAGACTAAGGAAGGATTAGCGAGTTGGTGCTTCCAGCCCCATCCCTCAGACCTCCGGGGAAGGGAGGGAGGCTGAAGGTTGAGTTGATCACCAATGGCCGGTGGTTTTCATGCCTATATAACGAAGCCTCCATAACAACCTGAAAGGACTGGGTTCAAAGAGCTTCCATATAGCTGAGGTTTCTGGAGTGTGCTGCACCCAGGCAGGGCACGGAAGCTCCATGCATACCCCTTCCCCATGCCTTGGCAAATGCATCTCTTCATCTGCATCCTTTGTAATATCCTTTATAATAAACCAGTAAATGTTAAGTGTTTCCCTGAGTTCTATGAGCCTCTCTAGCAAATTAATCAACTCCAAAGAGGGAGTCATAGGATCCCCAACTCGAAGCCAGTCAGTCATAAGTTTCAGTGGCCTGAACCTGTGGCTGTGTCTATTCTTATGGGACTGAGCCCTCACCCTGCGGGATCTGACACTGTCTCCAGGTAGATGTATCAGAACTGAACTGGAGGACACCCAGCTGGTGTCCATTGTAGAACCGGTTGCTTGCTTGGTGTGTAGGGAGAAATCTACACATATCTGGTCACCAAAGTCTTCTGTTTCCATTGTTGTTGTGGTGCAAGAGGAGAGGAAAAAATGGCTTGAGTTTTTCCTTTCTGAGATGGTCAAAGATTAAGACCATGGGTGTTGGAATAAGAGAGGTCTGGGTAAAGTCCCAGACCACTTATTAGCAGCTGCGAGTATGAGCAGGTTCTGCAACTTACAACATCACAGGCTTCTTCTTCTGGAAAATACATAAACTAAAATAGTTTCTACCTAGAGGATTGTTTTGAGGATTAAATGTGGCAATGCATATAAAGCACACAGAACCTGGCACATAGAAATGTTAAATAAATGCTTACCAGTATTTATAATAATGATTCTTGCTTGTCCATAAATTTTTCTTCATATTGAACTTAAGTCTTAACCAAAGACAGGTTCACTTTCCTCTTCAATATTTAACGTCTGACCCTGTCCTTGGTCCATTTGTAGTTATATTTTGTTCCTCAAAAAAACAATCTCTTTCTCTTCCTCGTTCCCTCCTTCCCCCCCCCAACATCTTGTTCTCAATCTTGCTCTAAATATTCCTTTTCACATTTCATTTTAAACCTTACACCAACTCTGTATATTTGGGTATAAAAACAGAATCTTCTGCTCCTAGATATAATACCCTGAATGTTTCATTCCTCTTCACAGAAACATGTGTTCCTTCTTAGAAGTTATTTTATTCCCAAATCAAAATAACAGTCAAAATACTACACTATGTTTATGAAAGAGGTAACCTTTGGGGGCAACTGGGTAAAGAGTACATGGGACCTTCTTGTGTTTTGTTTTGTTTTTGCAATTTCCCGTGAATCTGTAAGTATTTTAAAAACTTTTAATTAATCAAAGAAAATATTTCAGTGAGTGTTCCTCTTCTTTGTACTTGTCTCTTCTGCTTAATTTCTTATAATGAACATATATTTTTGTTGAAAAACAATAAAATTATTATTATAAAAATAAAAAATAAATACTTTCACATAGATTACATTTCTTAAATATAAATATAAAACTATAAATGCACTAGACAAATACAAGATATTTTTGATGGAGGAGGAGGGGGAGAGTAATTAAGGAAGATGGCCCAAAGAAAGTTTGTTTTTATAAAAGAAGCCATAAAAGAAAAGACTAACAAATCTCTGTGTATAAAAAAAATTTAAACTCTAGTAGGATGAAAGTTAAAATATATGTGACAGACTAGAAAAAAAATATTTGCTACATATATAGGAAAAAAAGACCTAATATCCCTAATATAAACAGTTCCTATAAATCAGCAGAAAAATATTCTTTAAATGAAAGCAAAAAATAAACAAAAAATACAGAGACAATGCACAGAAGAAACACTAATAATCAGTACCCACTCGGCCCTTCTTACATTCAGAAAAAATGCAAATTTAGTAAAATATAATGTATCATTTTTCACTCAACATACTCATGAAAACTTAAAAGATTAACAATGCATAATGTTGCTTTTGATATGAGGAAACAGGCAATCTTATCCATTACCAAAGAGAGAGTAAACTGTATATTTTGGGAAGGTAGTTTCACAGTATCTCTCAAAATTAAAAATTGTTTGATTGCATTTCTAGTTATCTATTTTGTGGGAACGCTTTACTTATGAAGCAAAACAAGTAGTGCTACATTATGTATAAAGTGACACACACACGCTGTTCAGCTGGATAGGACTTGCTTAGATGACAAGTGCCTGGACCCAGAACATCTGGATATTTCACTCCTGATTGCTAGGTACATAGGAGGGTCTAAAAACAACGCTGATCCCTGTTCCCTCAGAGACTGACTCCTTCTCTACAATGAACAGACTTTGGAGAAATAGTTGATGGCTCACTGATAGGCTTCATTAGCCAGATACTGACCCCCCAGAAGCTACCATAGCAGCTTCCAAGATTGGAATTGTTTGGAATTCCAAGATTTCTGGAATTGATACTGAAACAAGAATTTTCCATCTGCTTTCCCATATCTGATTGAATATAACATAGTATAACCACACACTCTTGTACATTCTGACAATATTGCTATTTTGACTCATGTATGTACAGTACATTGGTCATTTCTTTGTTTTTATCCTTGATATTAATTTGGCTCATAGTTGCCAGTCAACAAATTGAGGCTGAAGCCAATAAACTGGGAAGTAGTAGCAATGAGTAAGAATACTGCCCTGTTTTTTGAGCAAAATAATTGGTTCTCATGTTATTTCTATCATCTCTAAAGGCAAGAAACAGAATCCCAGAGGAAATATAAAATTTTGTTTGGATTCCCTTAATTCTACCTCGTTTATTTACAATTCCCCTCCATCCTTCCTGCCAGTCCAGATGGTTTTCCTCTTTCTTTCCCAAACTGAACTATGCTTACTGCCTCTGAGATACTAAATACTTCAAAAGCCTTCCTCCTAGTTCCTTACAAACAGAAATCATACACTCTTACCTTTGCCGAATTATGCTGGGATTCGCTGTCACTAAATGACTTTTGGATCCAACATCTTTAGTGTATTCACTTGACAAAGGAGGAAGGTTGCATCTACAGAAACAAGAAGAAACGCTTTAGAATTATTTACATACTTTTAAATTGTCGGTTATAATGACACAAATAGGAACTTTAGTCATTCTAGCTCAATTCACAAATAACTGTTTTTACCATCTCTCCCTTTTAATAGATATTAGATGACTAATTAACCACCAGCATCTTCAAAATGCTGTCACAAAAACTAGTCCTGTTTTAGAAGAAAGAAAATGTCAGCCTAGAGAGGTCAATGATCTATGAAAGGAAAGAGACAGTAGCTAAAATGTTTTTACTCCATTCGAAATATTTTTGAGATGGTAGGATGGGGAATATTAGACTTGACATTAGACTCAGTAGAGTGTGGGACACAGAGCCTAAGTATTCCCTGCATACCCATAAACCTTAAGAGACAGGAAGGAATTAATATATTTGCTCGTGTTTTTCATATTTCCCCCGCCCCAAATCTAAATTATAATAGTACATTCATAGCAATGTATTATTCACCTAAATCAATGTGTGTCTGACTTTTGTATACACGGCCAAAGCATAGGCTGATTACCCGTGAAGACATAATGATTTGTCATCCAAAGAAGTGCAATGATTCCCCACCATCCCAGTTCAGCCAAGTGAAAGAGTGCAGGTGATGTTTTTCCGACAGTGGAAATAACCAGCCAATCCCACCTCTAAAACACGACCCTGCTGCAGTTGCTTTCCTTGGCCATAATGTCTTATGACTGTTTACAACGGAAAATACTGCCATTGCAAATCCAAATCCCATAGCTTTCTGCCTGCGGGTCATTAGACAACTAATTCATTTGCTTGGCCTCAGTTTCCCCATTATACGAAATGAGGATAACGATATTTTTCTCTTTTATTGAATTCTAAGGACTAAAAGAAGTAATGTATAAAAGTCTGTAACCTTGATGTCTCACACAAAGTAAAACCTCAAAATTATCACAAATCAGAAATATCATACAAGTATAATTAATATACATTTATTATCTATGAAAACCCCAAATGAGCCTATAGTTAAGTTTCCATTAGGTTTTATTACTGTGTCCTAATGTCTCCTTTCCACCCATATCCCTAAACTTGACCCATACCACATCGGGGTAGCCCTAACTTCTTATTACTTCAGCACACCAAAGCATCATTTATTTGTAGGTAAAGATAGCTTACAAATATCAAGGTCTCTACGAGGCCCCCAACTACTAAGCTTTCCCTACAAATTTCCCCCAGGAAATGGAATTATCCACGCGCCCGCTCAGCTGATCAGCTCAAGTTTCCTGATTTTGTCTCGAATTTACCCTGTGACTCTCACCACACCAGGGTGTCCTAGGCAGAAATTTGTCTCAGTTGATTTATAATCTTTCTTCCCTCTGCTCTTTGGTAATGAGATACTGCTTCTTCTGGCAGAAACCCACAGGTCAGGCAGCCAGGCCGTGGCTTTTGCTGATCGCCCATTGAGAGCAAACACAGTGGGCTTTGTGGAGGACTCAGGGGAGTGCCCAGGTCCCAGAGCCTGCTCCTGAGGCATCTACAGTCTAGTGGTCACCCCAGGCCCATGTGTTTTCCCGAGGATTCTCACGAGGCAGTGAGCTTATTCATGAACAATCAGGCTCATCCGGCTATGGTGACCGACTGTGGTCTTGCAATTTAACTGATCTTTGCAAAGATGAAGATGACTTCTTTGAAGATAAAACACAGACTAAGATTGGGACGCTTTTCTCTTAAAGACGCTTTGATCTTGATTGCCCTTGGAAACGTGGGAATCAACTGTGTTGTACTAAAACTGTAAACTCTGAATATTGCTGGGGAGTGTTGTCAACCTGTTTTGTCATGATTAAACAGAACGAGTTGGTTTTCATGAGTAAATACTTTGTTTTCTGTGTGTTCCCTGGCCCATATGTCTGGGTCTCTGCACACTTTCTGCCACGGAGTAACAGCATAAGAAAAATTCATAGAAACTGATTATATCCTATAACAGAGAGAAATGTTTAAAACCACAAAGATAATATTTTATATGCATTGTATATGAAATAAAGATAATATTTTATATGCATTTTAATGCATTTCTGGAAAATAATGACAGTACATTTTGGTGTAAATATCTGTCTTAAGTTTTTTTGCAGAAACTTTCTTGTCAAGTGCAAGTATCTGTGACACTTTCCTATATCTCTTCTCTCAGGAAAAGCACACCATAATTTTAGCTCCTCAACTAAGTTGATAATTACACAGATTAACATAAAAGGCACATTTCATACAGTCAAATTGTTTCTAATAAGGCATAATTGTGTAAAAGTGTTTCAAACTTTGCGTTATCGCTTGTTAGCACAATTGACAGATATGAATGGCTAACGTGTCTTAGTAACTGTGCTCATAAGTCTAAAAGAGACCTGATCACAGAATTGATGAGAAATGAATACTTTGAATTGGGGAGTGGAAGTGGGTGGGGAATGGGCTTGGTAGAGAGGATTATTTAAACTAAAAATTCATAAAATTAAAAATGTGTATATTTGAGTATGCAAAACATGCATTTGAGCATAAATTCAAAAAGGCACCAAAATTTTGTTGGTGCCTCACTTATATCTTTGAGCCACCCAGTTCCTCTCCAAGATGCAATCACTGTGAATTGTTTGGCAGACCTTCCAGATAAATTGAATGCAACAATATTATTTTTTTTAAAGTGTTGCTTTTGGTTACAGAGCAAATGTTTACTCTGAAAAATGAGAAATTGATTTTTAGGACTGGAAGACATGTTTGAAACTATCTGAGCAAAGAAAATTATGGAATTGTTACATCCTAGTCCTAGTCCTAGAAGACATTTTGAACTGTTATATGGTACTTCACCGTATACAGGCAGACTATTTTTGGATGTCCTCTCTCACTGCATCCGTCCATGCACCTTATCATCTAGGATCAGACATACCATGTGCCTTCTAATCTACATTTACTCACTAAATGTTTAATTTTGAATACATGATATTATCTCAATATTCTAAGGGTGCTCCAAAAATGTCTATTGAGCAATCATTTACAAATAGATCTGTAAATGGTCAAATAATTTTAAAATCATTTATCAACATGTATTACTCCCATATTGTAAACCATAAATAAAGCTTTTTAAAAATTCAAATGTGTTATGAAAATGGCACTGTTGTTGAAATTAAACCCCAGGCACATGCATACATAGCTTTAGTTATGATGCTACCTTCTCTGAATTCTTTTCAATCTTCACTTCTCTCATAGTCTGTGAACATCATGCTTAATGTTGTTCTGGGCATTCCTTACTTCTGAACTTGAACCAGATTGCGTATAAGGCCAACTCGGTCTTGTTTATTTGTGATAAATGTGGGCCCACTACATATAACCCTCTAAGGTGCTTAGGCCTAGTCGTCTTCACTAGTTTAAAGTTTTACGTTTAAAATATCCGTCTTCCTAAATGTAATGGCACACACACATACACACTCAGGAATGATATAAAAATACATCTATTATACAGACTCCTTCTACTCTGCATGAAGGCCACTTGAAATCACTGAATGTCCCTGAATCTGTGAGTTTGATATTATCTATTCATATTTTTTTCCTATATGGTTTTTCAAGAAAGCAAATCAACTTACACACAAAAGCAATTTGAAAATTTAAACTAAATGACATAAACTGTTACAACCAGATAGTTGCCTACTATCACAGATGGAATCTGAACTGCCACAGTGGAAAAGCCTGAGGAATCATCTACTCCCACCTCCTCACACAGGTCAGCAAGCTGAGCCCCAGCCAGGGTCAAACAGGTGGCTGCAGGTGGCAGACCTAGTCAAGAGTGTGTCCTTCTAATTCTGTGTCTTTCCGGGTTCCTCACCTAATGCCAAAACACTGGAGTGGATGCCTGAAAGTGGCCCAGACCTCTTCTCATCTATCCACACTCCGTGGGTGACTTTAGCCTCTCCTATGCGCCTTAAATACCCCTCTGGCTCCATCTCACGCCATTCTCCTCCTTGTTCACGACACTGCAGCAGCAGCACTTGCTGTCTTTGCCACATAAGAGCCTGGAACAGGTTGTTTCTATGCCCGGGGTGGGACAGAGAAAGGACGCCACCTCTCTCGAGAGGCTCCAGTGCATCTGAATCCCACCCACCACCCACCTCCTGTCAGAGCAAGCGCATCTCCTGGATTCGAGTCCACGACAGAATTGTTCAACACACCATTTGGGGACCCAGCTTAAGGCCCAATGTGTGGTGGGCACTCAGTAAACACATGCTGCAATGACTGAAATTCAGAAAACTACATTTTTATTTTTATTATTTTCTTTAATTTTCCAATTGTTCGTGTATGTTGCCAAAAAGAAAAACAATGCAACGGAGAGGAAAACACTGTCCTGTGCTGGAAAAACTACGCTAGGGAACCTCCAGGAAGGAAAGGGAGATAGAGTGGGATCTCCCCAGTCTGCTGCAGGCTTCACCAAAGTGAAATAAAATGTCTATCAAGCAGTCCAGCCCGCATGCTCGGAGAGGGAACTTGGCCCTCCCCCAAGTCCAGGGCTTCACCTGAAACCCTCTCACAAACAGCCTTTATTCTTCCCTACCCCACTTGCCTCGGGGCTCAGGGAAGGCTTAGTGTTCTCTTGGCTGCCTTTGGCACTCCTAGACTGATACTTATGGATCCTTAAAAATAAACACGAACGCATAATCTCCGTCCCTCCTTTGCTAGTTTTCTGCCCTCTGTGTTGCTGCACTGTTCTGCCTTTCCAGCCAAGGAATCTTTTGACACCTGGCTCATAGACATTCCCACTTCAGTGAGACTTTAGGGTCCACCTGAAAGACCTTAGGGTCCCTCCAGAGTCTACCTGCAAAGTTCTTTTACTTCCCGAAAAATAAACATTTCCATTTCTACCACATATATGCTCATCCCTAAATAAGCTAAACTCTAAAATCTTTCTCTCTTTTTTTTTTTTTTTGAGACATTCTCGTTCTGTCTCCCGGGCTAGAGTGCCATGGCATCAGCCTAGCTCACTGCAACCTCAAACTCCTGGGCTCAAGCGATCCTCCTGCCTCAGCCTCCCAAGTAGCTGGGACAACAGACCTGTGCCACCATGCCCAGCTAATTTTTCGTGGCTCAGGCCTGTATTCCTTGCACTCAGGGAGGCCAAGGCAGGAGGATTGCTTGAGCTCAGGAGTTCGAGAGCAGCCTCAGCAAGAGCGAGACCCCATCTCTACTAAAAACAGAAAGAAATCAGCTGGGCAACTAAAATAGGGGAAAAAAATTAAACTCTGAAATCTTATCCTCTATAGGCTATTCTTTGACTTTAGCTTCTTCTTATTATTATTCCACTTCTCTCTCACTCACAGCCAGGAGTCAGGAGCCAGCAGCTCCCTGCTGGCTCTGAATGACCCCATTATTTGGCCTCTTCATGCTTGCCTCAGACCCTTCTTCCCATCCAGCCCAGACTTCAAGGTGTGTTACTCTACACTGTCTCTAGCCAAAAGTCTCCATGTTGTCATTCCCTGTCCTCTTTGCCTCTCACCCAGATAATCTCAAACCTGCATTCTTCCAGTTACTAGCTGCCTCTGCTTCTATACCTGGCTGCTAAGCATGTCAGGTCAAAAATCACCCAACAATGCAGGTTGGTGCCGATACAATCTGATGGTCTCTACCCTTGGCTGGACCTGTCTTGGCCATTCCTTTACATGCCCTGCAGGGACCTGCAGTTTTCACTGTGCACATCGGCACTCTGCTCAGTCCTTGGACCAAGAGTGTCCTCCTTGTTTGAATTTTACCACCGCTGCTCCTCCTTTCCGGTTTTCTTAGTCATGCACAGATCAAATCCCTCTTCAGATCCCATTCGCTACTTACAGGTGCTTTTGTGAAAAACTAAGAGGAACACGGTGCAGAATAAAATGAATACATTAACATGTTTATTTATGCAGAGTTAGCCTTAACAAAAGAACAATTTGAGAAGTTTTAATCACCTGACTGTACTATCTAAACTAAGGTCGGAACTTTTTCACTTTTCCCTGCTGCCTTTACTCGCAGCAGAGTGGGTATCTCTGTTCCATCGGTGCCTTCTGGGCTTTGTACTTGCTGGGGGCACGTTCCCTCTCTCCCCTTACTCCTCTCCTAGACTCCCTTGTATCTGAGCTCAAAAGGAAGCCAAGGAGCAGGGCTACAACCCATTCATCACAGTGACTGCTTCTGAAAGGGCCCGGGGCTCGCGGGAGGGGTGGGGAAAAGGAGAGAAGGCAGAGGCCGCGCTGTGGGTGCTCTCTCTTACCGCATGACAAAATTTGCTTCATCTATTTGACGGCCACAGCCACTCTTCTTCAGAATCCCACCATTTCCCACCACCGCGCATTTCTTCAATGGCAGCTGGAAGGGGGTTGCCTAGCAACAGAAAACAAGGCGGGTTTTCACTGCAAAGAACACACACAACCGCTCCCAAAATCATTGTTTACAGCAGGCCCTCTGGAGGAATTTGACTGCAGACTGGGCTGAGGGAAAAAGAGCATGTGAAAAGAAAGATGCCAAGAAGTTTGTGAGGAACACGCTGGCTGGCATGTTCCTTTTAAAACAGCAAAACAAAAAAGCTGCCTGAAGTGTATTTAAATGTAACAACATTTCTTTCTTTCTTTCTTTCTTTCTTTTTTTTTTTTGCTGTCTCCAATTGGCCATGCACATAGTAGAGGGTGTTTGCTAGGGAAAATAGAAAACTCCAAACTTAAACACAGGATTATTTTTAAAGGCATTAAGCTGGGAACAAACTCAAGCGAATTCTATTTCCCTGTGTGAGTGCCATTTCATCCATTCATACAATCAGCCATTCATTCAACAAACGTTTCTGAGCATTTCCATATGCTAGCTGCTGGGGAGAGATATAAAAATGCAGAAGTCGCAGGCCTCAGTATTCACAATTTGGGGTGTGAGGAGAGAAAGGGGTAAGGAGAACATATGTACTCAGGTAACAAACCCTAATATTATGCTAATGTTGCTGCAGGAGAGATACATACCAAGTGCTAAAGGGCATCTCACTGTGGGACAAAACAACATTCCTGCCAAGGCAACACAGGGGCAGCTTTCTCACTTGAGATGAATCTTAAAGAATAAGCAGGGTTTTTCCAGGCAGAGAAAACAACATCAACGGAGGCACAGAAGTATGTGCTGAGAGCAAGTGCAGTGTTTACGAGCAAAGAAACACCCTTGGGCGGGTCCGTCTAGAACCTAGGTGGCACTAAAGGACAAGCAGCTAGTGTGGAACCAGACAGCATGTGACTTGCTTTCTACAGTCACTGTGCTGGAACGGACCACGCAGAAAATGTTCAGTGTACCTGAGTGTGCCCTGAAGTGCTATTTATAGTCCCCGGGAATATAGAAACCCAGCAATAGCCACTGAAAGGGAAATGAGTCATTCGGCCACTTCTACTTGGGTCAGCAAGAAGTGTCAGGTACAGAATTTCCTACTTGCTGAAACAATGCAGGCCAGCTGGAGCTTGCTGAGGGAAGACCCTCCTCCACGCACGTAACTGGTAGGGAAAACAACCAGACTGAAACTAAGTAGGCCCACCCTGGATGAATCTCAAGCAAATAACACGGACTAGGCCAGAAGAATAAATTGGAATAAATACATAAATACACACTAGAAGAGCCTCATATGGGCATGAAGTAATTAAACCAGAAAAATAAAATTCCAGGAGTCTCCGTGTTCATCGGTAGCCGAGATGGGCGCTTTATGCAGCACAGGAAGAGAATTTTGTTCCCTTGCTTTCTAGAGTTTGCCAAAGGAACAGCCAGAGCTACGGAAAAATACGGTTGATAAAGATGCATTAAAGTGTCCCATCTACTCATTTGCCTGCAGAGAGGTAAGAGTCCCCTGTGTCAGTCCAGCAAACTCCAGAGAAGACACACAGAGGAGGGACAGGCAAGGAACAGCACCCTCACGGGTCCAGGATGATACGCGGCATTTTTCTCAGTCGCTCCTGAGAAAAGGGTTTGGTATCAACACTAGAAAGACATTCCCTAGATCTATAATTTGTCAGATGAAGATTTAAGAATTTACATTCAAGTTAGCTGTTCGTTTATTCCACAAGCGTTTGCTGAGCACCTCTTATACAACAGGCATGGTCTTGGGTGACGGGGACATAAGGAAGAAAAGTCCTGTTCCCACGGAGATTATATTCTAGTGGGGGAAGAGAGGTGATAAACAAAGATAAATGAGTAAAGCGAACAGTTCGTCAGATGGTGACATGAGCTCTGGAAAGAAATAAAGCATTGCCATGAAAGGATTAGGAAATGCTTTTGGAGAGGGATTGCAATGTAAATAGGGTAATCAGACAAGGGCTCAAAAGGGGCATGTGAGCACATTTCTGCAGGAGAGGAGGTAGCGAGCCATACAGAGCTCGGTGGGAACCACTGGTGCAAAGATCTCAAGGAGGGAACAAAGGAAAGGGTGAGCAAAGGGGCCCTTCTGTCTAGAGATGAAGAAGCAGGGAGAGAGATGGAGGAGAAGAGAGGAGAGCTAACTGGTAGGGAGGTCAGGGAATAAATTCTGTAGGGCCTTATAGAGTATTATAAAGACTGGTTTTTATTCTGAGACGAGAATCAAGTCGATGTAGGGTGGGCAAAGGAGTGACGTCATGGCATATTTTGGAGCAACTGCTATGTTGCTGTGTGAACAGGCTGGAGGATGTCATGGGCAGAGAAATCAGTTAGGAATCTCCAGGAACAACCCAGGCTAGAGGTTTTGGTGACGGCGACCAGGGTGACAGTAGTGGGAGTAGTGAGAAATAGCCAGATTTTGGAGATATTCAGGAGGAACTGCTGACCAGACTAGCTGATGCAATGGAAACAGGGTAAGAGAAAAAAGAGAAGAACCGAGGATGATGCCAAGAGCTTTGGTGTGAACAACTATAAAATAGGACTTGCCATTTACTGAGATATGGAAGATTACATGTGGGGCAGGTTTGGGGGGAAAGAATTTGAAGCTGAACCTTTCAGGTTTGGTTTTTTTTTTTTTTTTTTTTTGAGACAGTGTCTCACTCTGTCGCCTGGGCTAGAGTGCAGTGGTGTGATCATAGCTCACAGCAACCTCAAACTCCTGGGCTCAAGCAATCCTCCTGCCTCAGCCTCCCCAGTAGCTAGGACTACAGGCACATGCCTCCACGCCCAGCTAATTTTTCTATTTTTTGTAAAGACGGGGTCTTGCTATTGACCAGGCTGGTCGTGAACTCCTGGACTCAAGCGATCCTCCCCACCTCAGCCTCCCAAAGTGCTTGGATTATAGGCGTGAGCAGCTGTGCCCAGCCTGGACCTCAATCTTAAATATGTCATGTGTACGATGGCCATTAGATCTAGGCTAGAGGTTTTGGTGACTTGGACCAGGTGACAGTAGTGGGAGTAGTGAGAAGTACACAACCAAGTGGCAATGTTAAGTAGGCAATGGAATATATGAGTCAGGGAACTGGTCTTTCCTGGAGACAGAAAGTTGAGAGTGATCAGCACAGGATTCAAAGTCAAGACACTAGATGGTCAATGAGTACAGACAGAAAACAGAAGAGGTCTAAGAATGGTTCAAGTTTAATGCATTAACTGTCATGTGAGTTGTATGTAACTCACACTAGTTTTGAGCCCAGGGCCTCGTGAAGCACATGTAACTGCAGTTGGTTCATGAAAATCTTGCTTACTGATGTTCTTATCGTTACAAACAATATTGACAATTGAATTGCATGTAACTCACTCACAGAAAACAATAAAAAATAACAAATTTTTCATTAAATTAGAAAGGATCGTTTTGTTTTCAAAGTCTTTATTTTATTTTTGTAATGAAACACTGTGGCCCCAAGGAAAAAAAAATTTTTTTCTAGCGTGGCAGTCAATGCGTTAAAAAAGAAGTGTCTCAAGAAGGAAGGAAAAAAACTGCATCAAATGCTATTGATAAATTAAGTGCGATAACAGTGAAAATTGCGATGGACTTAGCAACATGGAGGTCACTGGTGACCTTGACAAAGACAGTTTTGGTTCAGTCGTAAGGACAAAAACCTGAGTTCAGTGAGTTGTACGTGTATATTTGCCTATCTATTTGGATATAGTTCATTTGAAAAGTGTGAATTCATTCACTCATCCTCCACTTATATTAATATTCAGTTTGCTTTATAAAATCCAACTTTAAAACCGCTTCTCATTGTCGTTAAAGAGAGGTTCTTAATTGGACCCAGTGTATTGGCAACTCCAGGCTTTCTGGCAAGAATATGGGCCCCAAACGAGCAGATCTGGGGGGGCGGCAGCAGCAGCAACAACATACACCTGGATACAAATGTTACCTCCCAGCTTCCAAATTGTGGGAATATGGGATTGTGGGCAGGCTGTCAAACTCCTCTGTGTTCTGCTTCCTATCTTTGCAGGAGGATAACATTGCACGGGATTATGCGAGATTATATGAGATCACGTACACAAAGCATCTCACCAAGCCACTGGCATGGTGGTCCATTCCTCTTCCTTCCCTTTTTCCATTTCTTCTCTCCTTCTAGTGGAGTTCACTGACTTGTTCAAGCCACGAAATGCTTACATTTCATGGCTTTTGTGGGACATGGTAAAACAGTGACTTATCTAATTCAAACTTAATAATGAAGAATAATTTTACTAGCAGAAAATTTAACTACGATATCCATGCACTATTAAAATGCTCCCCACAAAAGCCCTCAAACAAAAGTCCAAGAATGAAAAACAATGCCATTTCTGACTTTTTTTCCCCCTAATAACATTTACTTGCTCGTTTTTCATTCTGTCAGCTGCTAGCCCTCACACAAGCAATTTCATTTCCTTTCAATAAATATTTCTTGAGTGCCTGAGTGCACTCTCTGGGCATTGATAAACACATCAGTGAACACTAACAGCACATCAAAGCTTTAAAGAAAAAATACTCAATTTAGAAAATACTATGGATTTTTTAAAGTAATCGAGATAATACTCTCATTATCCTATTTGAGACATGGAATATCCCACCTTGGCAATGGCCAATGCTTTCCAGAATGACATATGAATGAGTGTTCTCCTTTTTGGGGTATACTACATAGAAAGAATTTGGTCATTCCTTGCCACAGGAATATTATGATTTTAACAGAGAGTATTTTTACTAAGGCTTTGCAGGCTGTCTTTTCAAGTGTACCTCCTTGTACCCATGCAAGAACATATCTATTGATCTGAGAATACAGCATACTATAACACTCTGGCCAATTTTAAAGAATCTACTCTAAGTGAAAGGATACAGTAGACAGATTAACCACAGCAATGAGCTCAAAACTGTTTCTAGGTCTTGCTCAGCCACAAACTCATCCTTTGGATCTTTTGTCCAAATCTTTTCACCTGTAACTGTGCCATCTGTTAACAGCCAT